AGAAGATTGGAGAGGAAAGAACAAGAGATGCCCTGCCACTGAGATGCAGGTCAGATGCTGGACTCCGCATCTAAATGTGATGCTCACTCTACTAGGGACAAAAAAATCGTGTAAAAATTGAAACTCGATGCATCGTACATGGAGAACAGTAGGGCCGAGCAAATTAAAGACGAAATACACTATTACCTACCACAGTTAAAAAGTGTAGGGCTAATAATATATGCATTAACAAATAACAATGTGATATTAACACAATATTTATATAATGTCATACCAAATAAAGTTATTTCCTTTTCTAAAAGGCATAGAAGCATATTCTCTGTCTGATATGTGTAACCACGAACATCAGCAATAATCATGTATGCACAGTGGGAGGGTAATACAGTGGGAGCTAGATCTGTTTGGAACTTTGGACAGAACTATGGGTCTCCTGGTGTCTACGTAAGTAGAATATGGAATACAAAGAGCTTGGGAGAAACCCACAGAGACACAAAAAAAATTCACTACATAGCTCTGAGGTATCACAGAAACAGCTTCTGATAGGTTTGACCTGTGGTTTCTTTTGTTTGTGCCATCTCTGAAAGTAGCCAGCAGGAGATATTTTAGGAGCAACAAGACACACAGTAGCAAAGGTACATGAATTTACCTCAATACCCTAAACAGAGCCTGATTTACATCCTGAAATCTTAATTCAGGTTATATTCAATCACTTAATGGAATAAAATGTTTCAGTCAGAAGGATGAAGAATGGGGTGTGTACACATTTTACTTATACACACAAAGAACAGTACCTTTAACACATCAGACTTGTAAAATCAACACTAGGACTGTTATTATTTAGATGTTCTTTAGGCAAAGAGGTAATTTTGACAGGAAGAAGCATTAAGACTATTTTCTGGAATAATCTTAAGAACAGCCAGTTAAGATGTTTTGCAAGATACAACATCAAACTTGTTTTTTTGAATAAACCTGTTGATTGTTTTGTATATTAGACCAAGGTAAAATAATGCTCCATGCAGCTTTTTAGTGGATGAAGGACTGAACTTGTAATTTTGAAAAGATATATTTGTGTATTGGGTTTGCGTGGCAAGTTTTTGGTAGCAAGGGGGCTACAGCACTGGCTTCTGTGAAAAGCTGCTAGAAGCTTCCCCTGTGTCTGACAAAGCCAATGCCAGATGGCTCCAAGATGCAAGATGGGCAAGCCAAGGCTGAGCCCATCAGCAACAGTGGTAGTGCCTCTGGGATAACGTATTTAAGAAGGGGGAAAAAAACTGCTGGGCAACAGCAGAGAAGAGAGGAGTGAGATTTGAGAGAAACAACTCTGCAGACATGAAGATCAGTGAATAAGGAGGGGGAGAAGATTGTCCAGGCACCGGAGCAGAGGTTCCCCTGCAGCCTGTGGTGCAGACCCTGATGAGACAGCTGTGCCCCTTCAGCCCATGGAGGTCCCTGGGGGACCTGCATCCCAGGGAGGACCCCATGCCAGAGGGGGGAGGGTGTGCCTGAAAGAGGCTGTGACCCCATGGGAAGCCTGTGCTGGATCCTGGAAGAACCTGTGGACCCATGGGAGAGAGGAGCCCAGGCTGGAGTAGGTTTGGTGGCGGGACTTGTGACCCTGTGGGGGTCCCATGCTGGAGCAGTTAGTGGAGAACTGCAGCTTGTGGGAAGGACTCATGTCGGAGAAATTCATGGAGCACTGTCTCCTGTGAGAGGGACCCCATGCTGGAGCTGGGGAAGAGTGTGAGGAGTCCTTCCCCTGAGGAGGAAGGAGCAGCAGAGACAACATGTGATGAACTGACTGCAACCCCCATTCCCCATCCCCCTGCACCACTGGAGGGGAGGAGGTAGAGAAATTGGGTGTGAAGTTGAGGCTGGGAAGCAGAGAGGAGCCAGGGGAAGGTGTTTTAAGATTTTGGTTTTATTTCTCATTATCCTACTCTGATTTGATTGCTAATAAATTAAATTTTCCCCAAGTTGAGCCTGTTTTGCCTGTGACGGTAATTGGTGAGTGATCTCTCCTTGTCCCTATCTTGACCCATGAGCCTTTTGTTACATTTTCTCTCCCCTGTCCACCTGAGGAGGGGAGTGATAGAGTGGCTTTGGTGGGCACCTGGCTTCCAGACAGGGTCAACCCACCACAATTTGCATACATAAACTTTTAACTTAAAGGGAATTTTTTTTTTAAAGTTTATTTATCACTTTTAGATGACACAGTGGAATACAGTATGTCCTTAATGCCTGCTATTACACAGTTTACTGTCTTTAACATATGCCATTAAACAAACAGTATTTATCAATTGTTATTGATAAACCAGCATCTGAAATAACACATACTTTCGTCTTCCAAGATTATAAAAGTTAAGACACTCCTGAAATTCTAAGTCTGAGAGTTTCTTCAATGGAGTAGTATGGTCAGCCCCTGACAGCTCATACACCACTGTCTGGCACTCGCTGATAAATGCTCACTTTCCAATAACACCTATTCATCGTTATGAGGTGGGACAAATGAAACTGAGCTTACCTATTGTGTTAGCTCTTGCTGAAGGACTAGCTAATGTTGCTGGCACAGAGGATTTTAGTGAACTGGCCCCACTATTTATTCTCAGAGTTGGCATATGAGGAGAGGTGGGTGATGTGGGAGACTTGCCATCAGATGTCTTGGGTTTGGCTGAAAGGTTCAGAGGCTGGGCCACTTCATCCTATGACAAGCAGAAGAGAAAATAATGTTATTAAAAAATTGCTGTTGGCACAACACCGTCCAAGCAAAGACAGTTGTTTTCAGCTCATATGAACTTCTAAACCCCAAAGGTTGTATGATATATATTAAGATCAAATGTGATACTATCTTGTCATTTCAGTTTGGAACTGAGATGACTGATAAACTGGAAAATTAGCATGACATGATCTGAGAACATCCTCCATTTGTACTTTGTATGTAAGAGTTGTCTCTGAAGAAATTATTAACATCAACAAGATACATGCTTCTATGATGAAAATTAAGAGCAATATTGCAGTTATATTTTTTGTTATTTTATTTTAGAATCGATATGGATGAATTAAGTAAGAACTGAAGAGCATTTTCACTTAAAATTCAACCACCACCACCCAACTGGGGCAAACGTGTTTGAATGAATGGGTTTTCAGTTGGTTTTTTCACTGCTCTTTTGTTTTTCTGGGGTTTTTTTTGTTTTTGTTTTTTGTTTTTTTTTTTTTAAACTTATGCTTTCCTCTGAACTTCCCAGGCACAAAAATATCATAGGAAATAAATGCTTCTCTTCCACCATAACAAGAAAGCAAGAAGAACCTGCTCTTTCCACAAAATCTGAAACAATAACCTGGTTAATTCTGCATAAGCCCCGAGATTTTTTCATATTCTGTGGAGCTGGACTTCAAGATTTCAGTAATTATTATTATGTGAAAATAGAAAAATTAGATTACTTTTTTTGCAGGGTAACTGGAATTATTCCTAAACCTGGCTTGATTACACAGAGTAACAGACAGTGCTATAAAACACATTAAAATTCTAAGTCATGTATTTTTGTTTGACCAAATAAAACACAATAAGGGAAAAAACACAGGGAAGGGAGAAAAAGCTTTTCAGCCAGGGGGATATTTTAGAAGTGATTTTAACTGACTTTTAAATAACCAGAACTAATGGATATGGTACTAGGTCCAACCATCACATATTAGCTTAGCTTTCCTCTGACACTGTGACTTAGGAAAGCCATCCTTTAGCTACTGGAAGTGTTACATCACACAACTGGGTTTCAGCTCTAGGCACTGAAGAAGCTGATTCTGACCTCCCTAAGTTGTAAGTACATTCACTGTTATAAAATTATTGCTGACTTACAGCAACGCAAAGCAGACTGGAATTAGACTCATAATGTTTGAGTGTTTTACTGTTACCACTAAGGTATTTGTAACTACTATCATACAACAGTGATTCTTTTCCACAGAGGGTGGTGTGCTGCAGTAAAGAAGGAATTTTATAGTTGCCTATCGCTTGTGGAAGTACGATGCAGATGTACGCCTCCAAACACAGGACAATTCTGCAAAGCCCTGCCATATAACTTTTCTATTACCTTAAAGAAGCAAGCTCTGAGCAAAGGACTTTTGTTATATTTTATTATTTCTACACTTTTGTAATAGTCATAATTAAAAGTGAATTAAAGCTTAGCAGACAAACATATCAGAGACATCGTGGACAAAGCTGTCATCCTTAAAGTGATATTTAAGCCATCCTAGATGCAACTTGTGCATAAAATAAAGGGGGAAAAAATCAATGCATAAAATTGAGCTTATATTCTGTATTCTCAGAAAGCAACTTAGGCACCTAGAACGCAGAATTCTGTTTATCTTCTGGGAGACTTAAGCCTCAGGGTTAAAAATGTCACCCTGCTCAACCAGCATTTGACATTTTAAGAAGGTATTCATTACTTTACAGAAATACAAATCCATCTGTATTAGAATAAAATAGGTTAACCTACTGGCCAAATGGAAGAGGACTTGCTCTGCTGTTCCACCGATTTCCATTTAAAAAAAAAAAATAAATCTCACAACAGTGCAACTATAATGTTGTAAAATCAGTACTGAATTGCATAAAAGTCTAAGTACAAGCTAGCCAATGAACCAAACACAGTGACTCCGGGCCAGACAAGGATCCCTGAAGAGCAAAGTCATCTATTCGGAAGACAGTATCAGAAGCAATGCAAATCTGCCCGCAGACTTGTTTTGGTTCAGTCCAAGAGGGGTTAGTTTCCATGTACATTCAATTCTTGACCTCTGTTGCAAGTCTCAACAGAAGGAGCTGATTAGTTTCAGATACGGTAGTAAAAGCTGCAGAGTGCTTTCTGGCCACTGGAAATCTGACCGAGAGCAGCACTTCAGTTCATACAGACCAGCAACTAGTGCCTGACAGGAATGGCCTTCACTCATCGCAAAGCCAGCTTGGATTCCAACCTGCATCCATGTACTGAAAGGTTTTTTTTCCGTCTTGTCCTTTTGACTCAGTCCCTCAGCTATACTGTCCCTATAACGTTTATTTCCTTCCCTTTTCTCACTCATTCTTCCTCTCCTCAGTTCTTCTGTTCCCTCTTTTTAGCCTGGTGTGAAGGCAAGGTCTTGTGCGAGTCCACCATAGACCAGTGGGCTTGGTCTCATTTAATGCAATTTAGAAATGGGGGAGGTAATTCTTTTTTCATCATAGGCATCCAGCAATGAACTGACTGCACTGTAACTATTCTTGGTAGTAGGAATGCTCTTCTTCATTCAAGTCAGCACAGCCTTCTCTGGAGCCAAGAAGTATAAGGCCTTGTGGAAATAATAGAAGTCGACAGTTCCAGAGCTGATAAATGTCATTCCAAATTGCCCCTTCATTCACTTTCATTGTGTGTTCAGGCTAATGGTAAATTAATCGGAGGTCACAGAAGCTTGGTTCTCAGAAAAGAGGATAAGTAAACAATTTTCAGCTATTATATGTATTTACAAAATTGTATTACTTCACTGTTTGATCTTCTTAACATTTTTACTTCGGTTATTTCAAAGAGCATTCTCAATTCCTCACTGGAAGTCAAATATATTAAAAAATCAGTCAGAGAGTTTAGGAATCCTACGCTGGATCTCGAGTTGACAACAATTTAAGTAATTTCCTTTACTACAGTAGAACTACACTGATTTATTCCATGGGAGTCTAAACAATATCTGGGACACAGGTAATAATATACAATTGTGTTAAGTGTGAAGATGACTGTTAGGATCTTCACTCAGTGAGCCATTTTACTCTTTTTCCTATCCACAGACATAAATCCAAAACACTCTGCTCTTCCAGTTTAAATCAAGAACTGTACTGTCTTCATTACTGATTTGTGCCTGGGTAACCATGAGAAGAATTAGGTGTTGGCCTACCTTTATTTTTAACTACAAAATCTCCCAGTTAACATTCTGACATGTTATAGATTAGCAGGCTTCACTCTCAGTTATATCAAGGATATGTATAAGTGCAGCATGACAGCTAGGGCAAATAAGAGTAATAAAAAGAAAAAAACAGATGTAGCATGCTCACTCCAGGTAGATAGTATCTTTCAACAGCCAGGAGATGCGATTTTATACAGTGGGATCACAGAATCTAGAACTACTCCCTGCACGTAGTTTTTATTAGAGAAAGCTCAGTATTGATTGGTCCTTGCCTTTTTTTTTTTTTTTTGACATGCAGTTTTTCTAAGATGCCATTGATAAAGTTTTTTTTCAAGCCAATATTTTTTAAAGAGTTAAACAAAGTCAAACAGTTATTTATATATCAGCCAAAACGATTAATGCTTAGACCAGAGGACATTAAGACCCAAAAGGCTGGTAATAATATAAGCATGGATGTGAGAAAAGTAAAATATGATCTTGATTAAAGGTTATGAAATGTTTCTTTTAAAGTAGTCTAACAAAACAAAACACGCACAAAAAAAAAAAAAAGTAATGTAGGGAATAAAACAGAAGCAAAAACGCACAACGGAGGGCTAATAAAATGCAGTATCCATAGCAAGCGCAAAGCATTGGTAAAGAGATTCCTATCCTCTGTGTGATAGCAGTGTCAGAATAGTCACTGTTTTAGGGAGAGGTGATTGTTTGCTTCCCAGGATTCAAAGACTGTCATTAACCAAAACTTTGGATCTCAGGGAACTTTAAATCCTTGATTTGCTCTAGGTTTTTTTTCCCAGCTGATCTCTAGATGTATGAGGGAAGAAAGAACCCTTCACCTACACCAGAATTTCAGGGGTAAACAAAATATTCAAGAACTGTATTTTGTAGCTTCACTTAACCTGGATTTGTATAATTTTGAGCTTTCATATTTAAGCATCAGAAACTGAAAATCTCCAAACGTAAGTGCTTGACAAGCAACATTTACACAGAAATACTGCTGGTAAGTTGAGTGTGCATCACACTGCTTTTATAAGGTTTGTACAGTACTTTGAAAAGGTAAAATGCTAGGTAAACACAAAGTGCTTATTAATATGGGAGGAAAAAATGAAAGAGAAAGAAAAGGAAGGGATTTGGTCACAGTCATACAGTAATGTAGCAGCAGCGTCTCAGACAGACCCAGGAATTCTGACTCACAGTCACCAACGTTGCAAATAGTTGGCAGAAATGGTGTCTCTTCTAATCTTTCAATCATGCTGTCTCTATTTACTTCCTCCTAAGGCAAAAGGTTAATTTATCTCTATGGAGAATGGATAAGGAAAAAGAAGGGAATAAAATCTGATTTTGAGAATCTCTCTAAACCGTTTATTAAAAATGGCACTATTTCAATACTAAGAGCCAAACAAAAGACTGATAGCCCAGATGAATGAACCAGTCTCAGAGAAAGAAAAAAAGGGTGGTGGTGGGCAAGGAACCAGACGATTCATTTGGATTTCATAATCTCACTTCTTTTCAATATTTTAAAGATTAGTATACTATTACGATACTGTTACTGAATTATTGTACTGTCATTTAAACCCAAGTCCTGTATCCCACTGTGGCACACACTGAAGGTCCAGGATGCACAGTTTATTACAAAATCATGAAGTACTCTGTGTATCATCTGACTGGCAATACAAATATGCTTAAATGACCTGGCATAAACACAGCCTAGCATGCTCTACTAAAGAGGCTTTTCATGACCTCTGGGAACACATTCGCCACATCTTGCTGCCTATTTAAATGACCTTGA